ATTCTTCGTCTTAATCAACGAACATTGGTGGAATAAAAAAAAACCCAAATTTAAAAATGAAAAAATCAAACAAGGAAGAAAATCCAAATGCTTTTGTTCCTTTTAAACTCAAAACTAATTATATATTACTATTTTTATGATAGATTTGACCTCACTGCATGGTTTAAAAATGTCCATATGAGCACGAGAGGCTGCAATTCTAGAATTTTCAATTCCTAAATTCCATGGACAATACCAAGACTCCAAAGCATAAACAAACAAATTCTACAAATCTTTAGCCCCATCCTCTCATATCCAAAAAAATATTCTGATAATTCTATGCTACCCCAAATACAATATCGTTCTTGGTAAGCTAGGTTGACATTGTTAAACAAAAAATAAGTATAGTTTGCAGTATTTTAAAATACTACTCGATACAATATAATAAATCATACAGATGAATACAAAAAAAGAAGAGGAGAAATGAACATATAAATGCACTTTCCTAGGACTACAGATTGATCAAAATCCATAAAACTCACAATGGATTATAGAAAACCTTCATTTTCTTTCTTTTCTTTCTTCAAAATAATCCTTATACTATGCTCTAACATCCCTCAAATCTCAGCCGTTGAATATCCAATCAATGTCTGGCCCAAGCCCACAACTTTCTTATGGCCCAATCCACAAGCAATCTTACTCGCCGGAAACTTCACAATTTTCGCCCACAACCACCGTTACCTAACGCCAGCTGTCAGCCGTTACCTCCGTCTAGTCCTGACGGAGAACCACCTTCCCCTCGTCAACCCACCTCTCAACCTAACATCAGCTCCGCCGCTAACCGCTCTCATTATCACCGTCGCTGACGTCGCCTCTCCGTTAACACACGGAGTTAACGAATCCTACACCCTCAGCATCCCTTCATCCGGTGTAAACGCGATTTTAACGGCGCAAACTGTATGGGGGGCAATGCGCGGGCTAGAAACGTTTTCCCAGCTCGTTTACTCAAGCCCATCGAGTGTGGCGTGCGGGTTGTACATTTCCGACGTACCACTTTTTATGCACCGAGGAATCATGCTCGACACGTCGAGAAATTATTATGGGGTGAAGGATTTGCTTAGGCTTGTAAAGGCCATGTCTATGAATAAATTGAATGTTTTCCATTGGCATATCACGGATTCGCATTCGTTTCCAATTGTCTTGCCGTCGGAACCGGAGCTAGCCGGGAAAGGAGCCTACGGTGAAAGCATGAAGTATACGGCGGCGGATGTAAGAAATGTGGTGGAGTTTGGGATGGAATATGGGGTTAGAGTGGTGCCGGAGATTGACATGCCTGGTGAGTTTCCATTGACATTTTTTCTTCTCAGACTCATTTTGTTTCTCAAAGATTGAAACTCTTAGAAAATTCTAAGAAATATTTATTAAACTCAAAAAATTTTCTTCAAAATTTCTCAATTTTTTTCTATTTTGTTTCAACTAAGTATAAATTATATAGTTCTTTAAAATCAAATATTGAATTTATGAAAATAAATCTCAATTGAAGATTTACGAGATCCGTCAATGATATTGGTTCTTGTAGTCCTTTCGGACCATGAATTAATGGGTACGCATCTAGTACTTATTTAACTGAATTTCAATTGTTTCATGTTAAAAATGTTTCGAGTGACCTATGATCAACGTTTAAGGAGTTCTTAAATCTTGTCCATTTATTTTAGTGTATGGTTCCATTGCAATCACCAAACTTTGATTTGCATATTGCAGCACATACTGGATCATGGGCTGAAGCTTACCCTGAGATAGTCACTTGTGCGAACATGTTCTGGTGGCCTGCTGAATCTGATCCGCTCGCAGCCGAACCAGGAACCGGCCAACTGAATCCTCTACATCCTAAGACCTATCAAGTTGTCAAGAATGTTGTCCATGATGTTGTTACTATGTTTCCAGATCAATTATATCATGCAGGAGCAGATGAAGTCGTTCCAAATTGCTGGAAAGTCGACCCTTCGATTCAAAATTTCCTTTCGAAAAATGGAACCCTCAGTCAGATCCTTGAAATTTTTGTTAAGACAACCTTACCGTACATCACATCCCTGAACCGTACAGTAGTATACTGGGAGGATGTTCTGTTGGATGCTGAAATAAATGTTTCCTCTTCTTTGCTTCCCCCAGAGAATGTTATCCTACAAACATGGAACAATGGGCCCAACAACACAAAAAAAATAGTCGACTCTGGGTACCGTGTTATTGTCTCATCTGCGGATTTCTACTACTTGGATTGTGGGCATGGAGATTTCGTTGGAAATAACAGTCAATATAATCAGCCACCCGGTACTCCTCAAGGCAATGGCGGATCATGGTGTGGACCGTTTAAAACATGGCAGACTATCTATAACTATGATATAACATATGGACTAAATGAGGCAGAATCTAAGCTGGTGTTAGGAGGCGAGGTTGCTTTGTGGTCCGAGCAAGCTGATTCGACCGTTATGGATCCAAGAATCTGGCCGAGAGCTTCAGCAATGGCTGAAGCATTGTGGTCTGGGAATCGAGACGAAACGGGAAAGAGCAGATATGCAGAGGCTACAGATAGGTTGAATGAGTGGAGATATAGAATGGTAACAAGAGGAATATATGCTGAACCAATTCAGCCACTCTGGTGTGTGAAGAATCCAGGCATGTGTAACACAGTTCATTAATTTGTATAGCTTATTGCTTTTTTTTACTTGTCAATTTGTTTTTCTTTACATTAAAAAGAGGTTTCATTGTAGCTCTTCTTATGTTAATCTTTCACATTCTTGTCAAGCATTGATTTGAAAGAAAAATAAAAAATGCATTTTTAATTACGTGTCTTGATATATTTGTAGCATCCTCTTCTTGATGTAAATTATATGATATAAATTTTGTCGAAAAGTGTGATTATAAATGCCATGGACCAGGCACGGGTTGTCTTCTAAAGGGCTTTTTAACCTTAACGTGCAAAATAAGGGCTCACAAGAGTTGACATGACAATCGAAAAAGTTAATGTAAACATTTTGTTTGATCACATTGGGCGCTAGGGGGCAAACCCAGGCCAACTCGGAGCTGTGACTGCCCAGGCAATGAAAAAACAGGCTTCTCCTTTATAAATTGCGAAGTTGGAGGCAGTGGAAAAGTGTGGCTTGGACGAGCTTGGGGGGCTTATGCCACTGTAGTTTTCTCCAAAACACACATGTCCGACGTGGTTTCTTCTGATGGCTGGAATGACTGGAGAGATTCCTCTAGAGACCAGTATGTTAATTGTTGATCTAAATTATCTTAAAAAAAGTTCATTAATTAATTTTTTTCATTAATTAAAAGTTACTTATTTCAGAACAGTGTTTTTTGGGGGAGCAAATTATACCTATAGAGTGGCATATGGGAAGCAAACTGAAGCTGCTCCTTACATGGATATTTCCACATGAACTTTACCTATACAGAGGGCAAATCTCTCATTACCCTAGTCGTATGCATTTAAAGTCAAATGATAGGGCTGCAATAGTGTCCTACGCATACTTAGCCTTTGTTTGGTTTAGGTAAAAATCAAGTTTTTAATAGATTTTCATAAAAATTGATGAAATGTGTCAGTTGTTGTTCTCATGATACGTGTAGTTGGAACGTGGGTTTAATGAAGTTGAAAGACGTAAAGCACTAGGCATAATAATCACAATTAATTAACATTTATTTGGTAAAAAGAAATGTTATTTATCATCATGATGATGGAATATCAGTGATGTGGCAACCCATTATCCTTCACATTTCTCTCTCTCCTCCACCTCTCATAAAAATTGAGCTGTCAAATCCATTATTCCACATTAAATGTCATATCATCAATATTTTATCATCATAATGATAAATAGCATTATTCGCGGACTTAGCAAATTCTGAAAATTTGGAAATAAACAATGACCTTAGTATCAGTTATCTTCACACATTTCATATCAAGAAATATTTTGATAAAAACGGCAAGAAATCATTCTTCTTAATCAGTTTTTAGTTGACAGTCCAAGTAACAAAACCTTCGTCAAACAGCTGGACAATTTGCATATTAGAATACTGTAAGCCCAGATTCTTTACTTAATCAATTGTATTATGTTAATCCATTTTAATGCAGATAGGTAAGATATCAAATCCAGGACAGTACATTAGAAAACTGAAGCAATTAACGTAGTTTCTTGATTGACGAGCTTTGAATTAGAGCATTTTTCGAAAGTAATTATAAACAAATTAAATTATAAATAGACATAAACGAGTGATGGATAAGTGAGTACTATTATTTATGAACAGATACGACAATCAACAAATTTTATTACATTTCTTTCTTCTTACCACATAGCTAATGTCTAAATCGTCATACAAGATACCTTATCAAAGTTCAAAGCTTTTGCTGCTTTTCTGTCTGTTCGTCCATAGTCTCGATATAATATGTTTGCTCAACCGTTTGCTCGATATGGGAATGCAGAAGTAAAATATATTTGTGGGTATGAGGAAACATTTAGGTCGCCAAACTTACGTTAAAGTTTTATTTGTCACTCGACTTCAATATGTTTCAAAAATGGAATGAATAAAATGAAATGCCGCGGTAATTTACGTGACCAAGTCTTCTACTTTATTTTTACGGTGAATGAAAACGAATTTCTCAACAGACAGTGATGGAATAAGGTTTTAGTGTAGTAAGTTATGTAGAAGAACTGCTACCAGTATCGAAGATCAATGGGTTAAGGTTTAGGTTTATGTCTAATGCTGCAAGTTATGTAGCACAGCTGCCCTATAATTGCACTGAACTTTGACCATTTTCATTATTCAATTCACTAAGCAATCGAATTTTGAATCACATTAGGCTGTTTCTTGCACTCAATCTATAAATTATACATTTATTATATTATTATATTTTTTTCTTGTAACAGTGACCCCTACAAATGAAATGCCCTATAAATTCAGTGCTTAACTGATAGAGCATTTCAAGTTATTTCCCTCATTCCAACCTCCTTAGTTATAACATAACCATGGCATCTTCGTCACCGGTAGCAGTTCTTCTCATTGCTAGTTTTACTATTTATATCTTACTCGGTGCGTCTTCTTCATATGCTGCGATTACGTGCAACGACGTGGTCAAAGATCTGAAACCATGTATTAACTACCTAAAAAGTGGCAGTGGATTGCCCCCGGCCGACTGCTGTGCCGGAGCATCAAATCTTGCATCCAGTGCTACATCCACTGCTGACAAGCAGACCGCATGTAACTGCCTTAAGAATACTGCAAAGAGCATAAATATTAAGGTTGAACTTGCAAAATCTCTTCCAGGGAATTGTGGCATCTCCTTGCCTTATCCCATCTCTCCAAGTGTTGATTGCACCAAGTAAGAATTTACATCTATAATGCTCGTTGATTTACTAAATTCTTGCAACTCACACTCATTTGCAAGTTGAATTCATTTTTTTATCGAAACTGTGGCACGTGTACAATTTTCATTAAGCTGGATTTTTGTTGGTTCTGATACTGTATTGAACCACGTTATTGACGTTGTGATATTTTTCTTTGCAGGATTACTTAAAATGGAGTACACCAAAGGCTAGTCAGAAAGCATGTTCCACCATATCGAATTTATGCTCGAGTTTCGCTAGCTGTTCTATTTTGTGTGAAATAAAATGTATTTTCATTCTTGTGGAAATACTGTGAGATCGGATTACTATGTTATTACGTAATATTTTGAATGATTTGTGAAATTTTTATTTCATTTCTGCTATGATGAATGATTTGCGCGGCCACTTTTAGGCTGATTTGCATATTGCAATGAAATATGTGAATTGGAATAAGTTTTCAACATGTACAACGATTGAGTGAGACTTTCGAGTGCAAGAGGGTATAATAAAGAGTTATAAGCTTGAGATATGATGTGATCTGAAACACGGATTGGCCAACAATTTCTTAAAGGCCTATACCAGAATGACTCTCCAATACTTCAAATCTCCGAAGCATAGATTTGATTCACAATTAACTTGATTTATGGAAGTTTAATGTTGGATTTAACTATCTTTGAGCTGGTGGACCAAATGGCTTGAATTTTATCACCACCCACAGAAATGTAGCAACTTAGAATTCCTAGGGGGAAACAGTTTCCAAGGTGTATCCCAACTTATTAAAATTTGGCCCTCGTTTGAGCCCCATTTTTGGGCTAAAATACGTTTTTGAATAGTTTTTTGTCGAGATTGTATGGTTAAAAAATAAAAATAAAAAATTCGATTTCGTGTAATATTATTTTATAGGAAAATATGTGGTTGAAAATGTGTGTTGATCAAATGGAGGCGAAACGTAAGCTTGAACCAGTGGTAATAGTGGTAAGGAGAGGTGTTCACTTAAGTGATCAGATTGCAGAGGGTGGTGGTGATTTTGTCGTGGGATGGGATGTTGTGGTGATGGCAATAGTCAGGTTGCAATTGGTACACTGGTGATTTGGCTGTGGAGGTAGGTGTTTAGGACGGGGTGTGTTATGGGAGATAATTGACTTTCTCCCTTTTTCTTCTTTTTTTGTTCATTCATTCTCTTTGGAGAAAATTGATGAAAATTCTCTTTGGTTGATAGAATAGAATGTTGTCTACTATTCATACTCTAATGAAAAATGTTAAAAATGGCATATGAAATTCCACTTTTCCCTTTCCGAGAAATGTACACATTATTGAGCAAACATAGATATCACGAGGAAGACACTATTGCACAATCGATATTTCAGCACCATGATGGTAGGTACACATTCCAAAGGTCGTGCGTAACTCAACTTCTATGTGAAGTAGGTGATCTAATTTAGAAACTCTAGTATGCGACAACAAGCTACAAAATGCACTTCCTTGCTCGTCTTGCATATTTTCATTGATCGAGAAGTGTAACACTGCCAGTCAGAATTGGGGTATGAGTTCAATATTAGATGACGTGATTTTTCTCGGAACATTGCACTGCTCTCAAGGAACGGTTACTATAAAAGAATGAGATTTTCGCATTTGCATTTAAAAAACATAGCTTGTTTACATTAAAAAAATGTGATAGTCGAACGAATACAAGTGCAGCTCATGGATTCAAACTGCTATGTTATATTCTTATGTTTGTTTGTTCTTTATTTTAAACTTGATTTCCGAATTTAATTGAAGCAAATAATCCTTGGGAGTGAAACTACAAGACAAAAATCAAGTGAAACTTTATACTAATATCCTCTCCTTCGAGAGAAACTGGGTTACGGAATTTCATTTTAATTTTCGAACCACACGACTTGACCGTCATTCCATTCGAAAACTCTGAATATAGCAAACTATATAATTGTTGAGTATTACACTCCATTTCCAAAATAACTATTGGTTCTCTAACAATAATTGTGGTTATGTGAGGCAACCCGCCTGGTTCGATTCCCTTTAGATATACACTTCTCATTCGATAACCCTCGTGAAGAAATCGTGTTTCACAAATACAACTTAAAAATTGAGGCCCTTTTGGTAAATTTTCATTGCTACCTTGTTGGACTGGACGGCCTACATGACAACTTCACATTGGCAGACTGATTGATACCAGGATTGTTCTTCTTCATGATGGCCCTTGACCGTTCGATCTGATCAAGGCCTGAAATTAATTCTTGGTTAATATGACTTTTGGTTATGCCCGATTCATTTCACTTTCTTGGCTTTTCTGATTAAAAAACTCTACATCTTTCACCCGTCCCCATCTACGCCTAAAAGTATGATGGTGAGTACGTACATATTTTATAAATGTTGTTTGACAATTTTTTGCTTCTTTTATTTAATAGTCCAATATAACTTACACACACTATATACCATCATAGCTTCATGTGACTATTTAATGAATTACCTTAATCTACAACATAATAGAGGTTGATATTCATGAACTTGATGGTTTATATTGTGCCAATGAATGAGATTAATTAGATGATCTAATACCTCGATACGTTGAAAACATGGAGCAAGCTAAGTAGTAAACACACATTCACATTCTGAATCGTTCATTTCATGAAAGGGTAAATACACTTGATTATTTTCTTATAAGCTCAATATTTAGAAACGACTAAATTGATTTTGTTGACATAAAAAATGACTAGGCCGATTTTTGCCAACTTAATTGAGAATTATTATGATGTAAATTTGTTGAAATAGTAAATAAGAAGACTTTTCTATTATTTGAAGAGAAAGTAAGAAGTGTCTAACATGAGTACATCAAGTTCGATCCCATATGTTGACCTATGGTTGATTTCATCCTTAATGTTTTGATCATAACAAATAAGATTAATATTGTTTCTAGCAATTAATTTTGAGTGATGATAGTTCAATGTTAAAATCAATCAAGTATTGTCAAAATCAACACATTATAAATTGGACTCGAAATGAAGATCAAAGTGGAAATTAAGTATTATGTTTCGCGTGGAAATCGAGCATCACTAACAATTAAAAGAATGTTCAGACGATTATGTAAGGAACAACAACATCTCGAGACAAAGTCCCAACGATGGGTATTTTATTTGTGAAGATTACGATTCACAAGAAGTGAAATGCCTCCAAGGGGCACAAGCACACTGAATTTGCAAAATAATTGAAAGTTAACAAGAAGAAAAGAAATAAAATTACATAATTATCTGTTTGAGAGTCGTTTTGATCATCCCTTCTTCTGAATTCTTCTTTTTCTTTTATACTCCTTTGACAGTTTTTCTTGTAGAACCATTTGAAAACTGTTCATCACCATGTAACTACCCACTTTCTCCATGATGGATGACTTGTTAAGAAACTACTGTTTTCAACCGTTGTCATTACTCCTATCGCTTAACTTCTTGCAATCGAGATTCTTAGATCGTGTAATATAATAAGATTACCCATTAACTGCTTCAATAACAATTGCTTTGAATAGCAATCAAAATATTATAATTGCCCAGATCTTGGGCGTCGCACAGGCTTGAGTGATGATGGGCTCGCCCAGATCTTAGGCGTCTCATAGGGTTGAGCGATGATAAGCCTCCATTACATAACTCCGTCTCAGGTTTTTATATGGTCTCGTTAGGGTTCATCCTTTGAATCTCCTAACCGAGTTTCATTCTTTGGACCATTTAATTGGGCCTCATTTTTGTATGTCAACACATTCAAGTTAAATTAATCGAGATTAGAGTTTAAAAGACAAACGTTAAGAAAAAAACAAAATAAAGAGCATGAGAGACGTCATCAAAGAAAGATCAAGACGATAAGTCTAAGATGCAAATTTCGAAGCAAGATAAAAAACTAGACTTCTTAGTTTAAATATAAAGGTACTAATACTTTGATATTTAGTAATAAATGATAAAAACTCAAAAATCGTTTTATGCACGANTCAAAAATCGTTTTATGCGCGAAAATATTATTTTACAAAAACACTTGCATAAAAAAAAATTATTTTTCAAAGATTTTCAACTTTATATTTTAAACTTTTTTTTTTCAATGTTACTCACTCATTCAAAAAGTCAAATCTAAAAAAAAAGGGTCACAGACAATGTCAACCGGACGTCCAGTTCGCCAACAGTAATTTTTTTAACCGTTCTGATTTCTGATGCACAACGGCTAATTTAGTCGTCCGGTTCAGTGGCGAACGTCCGGTTGGTCAAAATTTTGGGTGTTCTGACTGCTATAAATATTACTTCACTTTACATTCATTAAACAACTAGAAGAGAATTTTCTTGTGAAATATATTTGTGAAAAACTTTCTTTGAGCTTACATTTTTATATTTATTTCATTTATTTTTCATAACAAAAATTTAATTGTTGAATCAAACTTTTTGAATTACTTCTCTCATCAAAGTTTTTCATTTCTCTTTATTCTTAAATTATTTATATCAATCTTAAAAAAAAAGAAATATATTTTTGAAGAATATCAAAGTGAGATATCTTTTGAGATATTTCTATAAACTAATATTTACATTCAATTCATTTATTTTTTTATAATAAAAACATAGATTGTTGAATCAAACTTTTTGAATTACTTCTCTCATCAAAGTTTTTCATTTCTCTTTATTCTTAAATTATTTATATCAATCTTAAAAAAATATATATATATATTTTTGAAGAAGATTTTTGCACTTACCTTGCATAAACTTTTCTACTTCATGTTGAAAATTTTGATTGATTGAATCGAACTTTTAAAATCATCATATTTATCAAAGTTTCTCATTTCTCTCTTATTATTTAATTTGTTACAATTATTCATTAAAAATATATATATCTTGAGAAGGTTTTTGAATTTACTTTGCATTTATTTCTTCTTCATCTTCTCATTGAAACATTTTGATTGATTGAATCTAATTTTTTATTATTATATTCTTCAAAAAATTTCATCTAACACTTGAACTATTATTTATTACTATTCATTGAAGTGTTAGCATCTCTTAGTACTTAACTTGTTTCTATTATTTATCAAGAGATGTATTCCATTGTAAAATCACTTTGATAAAGTGTAGGTCGTGTTGAAGTCCCTTAAAGATCAACATTGTTTAAAGATCGGTGCTCCTTATTGTAAGTCACCGCGTGTGTCATATTGAGA